ATTTAATAATATTCTAAATTGGCTTTTTAAGTAGAGAGATTTATATCACTATGTATAAGCTTTTAGTAGAGATAGCGAAGGTTTTACAGAGTATCAGAATTTAATAATATTCTAAATTGGCTTTTTAAGTAGAGAGATTCATATCACTATGTATTTTAGGATTGTATTAGGTTTCGTATCGACCTTTTTTTTACTTCTAAGTATAGCTTCTCAAGTGGTGTAGGTTACGCTATGCGCCCTAAACTACTCAGAATGTGGACAGCATTCCAAAGTTTCATACTGCGACATAATAATAATAATAAGGTTTTCTTTGTTTAAGGACAATAATCCAGATGGTGCCTACCCTACTGGCTGCATTTTTAAAAACCAACGATGGCGACTGCAGGAAGTACTTTGAGCTCGCTAAAAAAACGGTACATGTTTGAGTGACCATATGAGCGGTATCATGAACTTTCAGGCCATATAAGCTTTAAAAATTGGCTTATTATCAATCTAGAATAAGAAGTAACACAAATTTTCTAATGAAATTAATTAGCTTCTTATCGAAAAGTGCTCAATACAGAACTTGAAAGTAAAAATTGTGTCAGGACTGACTATTCGAAGACATCTCTTCAAAGAAGGGCTATCATGGTAGAGTACGAAGCATGAATGCGGGTTAGATGCTGCAGTCTTACGATCGTGTTTTCAAATAATGTTATATAAAAGACAGAAAAATAATTTCTTGCAAACTTTTATTCGAAAACCCGTATGTTTTACAAACAACCGTAGCCAACAATAATTTCTACTCATTCATCGTACCGTAACAGTGACTGAAGTGACAGCCTGTCAATAAACACTTGTAAATTTAAAGTAAAAGGCTTTTTGCTACTAAGTGACATTATTAAAAATTTCTTTTCTTTTTGTTTACTAGGACATTTTATTTATTTTTATGTACTTAGTCCCAATTCCCGACTAATCTTTGATTCCATGGTCTTCCTAGTCTATGTTTTTCATTGCTTAAAACTCCTAGTAAAATCATTGCTTTGAGAAAAAATAGTTTAAATGGCTAAAGTAAATTTCTTACATGTCTCAGTCAAAAGCAATTCGCGTAACACTTACTAGATCCGTTCACGCAAATAAAGAGCACATGGCAAATTCATCAATGAACCCGTCTCAACTCGGGCTAATTTTCTAGTAATGTTTCCTTAAACTGAAAGTAAAGTCAAAATTTATAAAACTTCTGTGACAAATGTATAAATACACAAGGTCACACTTCAATCAGTCGAGCAGATTGTCCCTGTATACCATCTCGTATGATAGCGGCTTTTTCCTTTTCTTTACTATCACGTACAAAGCTGATAAGCTTAGACCCAGGACAACTCCGGATGAGAAAATAATGACAGGTAGGATCCACTTCCTGTGGCTGGGAGCGGGAGTGTCTGAAAGCAATAAAAAGGGAAAATATCAAATCGTCACATCTTCAAAAGTAAGGAGTGTTTCTTAGTGTTGCGGAAACCATTGTTGATTCGCCTGTGTGTTGTTGTGTTGGTATTGTTTTGCGGAGTGTTTCTTAGTGTTGCGGAAACCATTGTTGGTTCACCTGTGTTTTGTTGTGTGGGTATTGTTTTGTGGAATGTTTCTTGGTGTTGCAGAAACCATTGTTGGTTCACCTGTGTGTTGTTGTGTGGGTATTGTTTTGTGGAATGTTTCTTGCTGTTGCAGAAACCATTGTTGGCTCGCCTGTCTGTTGTTGTGTGGGTATTGTTTTGTGGAGTTTTTCTTGGTGTTGCAGAAACCATTGTTGGTTCACCTGTGTTTTGTTGTGTGGGTATTGTTTTGTGGAATGTTTCTTGGTGTTGCAGAAACCATTGTTGGTTCACCTGTGTGTTGTTGTGTGGGTATTGTTTTGTGGAATGTTTCTTGGTGTTGCAGAAACCATTGTTGGTTCACCTGTGTTGTTGTGTGGGTATTGTTTTGTGGAATGTTTCTTGGTGTTGCAGAAACTATTGTTCATTCGCCTGTTTGTTGTTGTGTGAGTATTGTTTTGTGGAATGTTTTTTGGTGTTGCGGAAACTATTGTTGGTTCGCCTGTGTGTTGTTGTGTGGGTATTGTTTTGTGGAGTGTTTCCTGTGTTGCGGAAACTATTGTTGGTTCGCCTGTGTGTTGTTGTGTGGGTATTGTTTTGTAGAGTTTTTCTTGGTGTTGCAGAAACCATTGTTGGTTGGCCTGTGTGTTGTTGTGTTGGTATTGTTTTGTGGAGTTTTTCTTGGTGTTGCAAAAACCATTGTTGGTTCACCTGTGTTGTTGTGTGGGTATTGTTTTGTGGAATGTTTCTTGGTGTTGTAGAAACCATTGTTGGTTCGCCTGTTTTGTTGTGTGGGTATTGTTTTGTGGAGTGTTTCTTAGTGTTGTAGAAACTATTGTTGGTTGGCCTATGTGTTGTTGTGTGGGTATTGTTTTGTGGAATTGTTGGTTGGCCTCGGTATTGTTTGGTGGAGTGTTTCTTGGTGTTGTAGAAACCATTGTTGGTTCACCTGTGTTGTTGGGTGGGTATTGTTTTGTGGAATGTTTCTCGGTGTTGTAGAAACCATTGTTGGTTCACCTGTGTGTTGTTGTGTGGGTATTGTTTTGTGGAATGTTTCTTGGTGTTGCAGAAACCATTGTTGGTTCGCCTGTTTTGTTGTGCGGGTATTGTTTTGTGGAGTGTTTCTTAGTGTTGTAGAAACTATTGTTGGTTGGCCTGTGTGTTGTTGTGTGGGTATTGTTTTGTGGAGTTTTTCTTGGTGTTGCAGAAACCATTGTTGGCTCACCTGTGGGTTGTTGTGTGGGTATTGTTTTGTGGAGTTTTTCTTGGTGTTGCAGAAACCATTGTTGGTTGGCCTGTGTGTTGTTGTGTTGGTATTGTTTGGTGGAGTTTTTCTTGGTGTTGCTGAAACCATTGTTGGTTCACCTGTGTTGTTGGTGGGTATTGTCTTGTGGAATGTTTCTTGGTGTTGCAGAAACCATTGTTGGTTCACCTGTGTTGTTGGTGGGTATTGTTTTGTGGAATGTTTCTTGGTGTTGCAGAAACCATTGTCGGTTCGCCTGTGTTGTTGTGCGGGTATTGTTTTGTGGAGTGTTTCTTAGTGTTGTAGAAGCTATTGTTGGTTGGCCTGTGAGTTGTTGTGTGGGTATTGTTTTGTAGAGTGTTTCTTGGTGTTGCAGAAACCATTGTTGGCTGGCCTGTGTGTTGTTGTGTGGGTATTGTTTTGTGGAGTGTTTCCTGGTGTTGCGGAAACCATTGTTGGTTCGCCTGTGTGTTGTTATGTTGGTATTGTCTTGTGGAGTGTTTCTTAGTGTTGCAGAAACCATTGTTGGTTTTCCTGTGTGTTGTTGTGTGGGTATTGTTTTGTGGAGTGTTTCTTAGTGTTGCAGAAACTATAGTTGGTTCGCCTGTGTGTTGTTGTGTGGGTATTGTTTTGTGGATTAAATTAACTTTAAAAACCGTGGACGAAGATCCTGCTAGTTGTAAACGTTGGATCTCTAGAAAAGAGATCAAATCAGCCAAAATATAAAGACAAGAACGAGAAGTCCAAAGACTACTGCAAAGCTGATTTAAAAGAACGTGTATTGTTTTTTATAACAATATTTCGGCTGGCCATACCAACCTTCTTCAGGTTTACAGATGTTACTGAACGTATGTAGCAATCACAATATTATATAGATGGAGAATGTCGCAATAAAAGGGAGAGGCGGAAATGACGTACAACATAAAAAGTGGAAAGGAAAAATACTAAGGATATGGATTACAATAATTCGTCACGGCGGTTTTAAGCCATGAGGTTCAAGAGTCATGGCCTTATCTATCAAATGCGACTCCCTGGCCTTACGAACTGAGTCACGTGAAGAGTGAATTTTCTCTAGTGGGATTAACTGCATGTCAGTATGAGAATGGTTAGAGTGAGAGAGAAAGTGTTCAGAAACAGTAGTGGGTTTAGATTAATGTTAGTTTTGTCGACTGCACGTCTGTGTTCGTTAAATCTGTCCTTGAGACGTCGCTTAGTTTCACATATATATTGTAAATTACAACGGTTACATTGAACCATGTAGATCACATTTTTAGTGTTAAAAGTAATGTGTGAAGTGATGGAGCGTGTTTCACCTGTTGCGTAAAAGGTATAACTTGTTAGATCGTTAGTAATGTATGGACAGGTGGCACAATTCTGTCCACAACGGAAGGAGCCTAGCGGAAAATGATTGGTGGAGATAACGGGTAGTTGTGTTTTTAGTTATACAGGGGCACCCAACGAGAATATAGTTCAAAACCACTTAAACATAGCATTGTTAAACGCATTTTAGCATTTAAAAAGTAGATAAAGGCACATTTTTATATCCCAAAAATGTTTCATCTGTTGGGATTTTCTAGCTGAAAGTCTAGTGATCCGAAAATTATAGTGATCAAAACTTACTTTTTCGAAAATGTGTGTTCCCAGTAGGGGTCTCGGTTGTTGGTTCTGAAAAAAGAAAAAGCACAATTGTTAAACGCATTCAAATGATCTATCACTCAACGACGAGTTTTTTACTTAATTGACTTTCTTATCGCACTTGTTACTGATCCATGTCTTGGAAAACCGCTCGAGTTTGCGTTTAGAGAAGACCTTTTTTAGTTGCATGATTGTTTAAAAAATTATTCAATGTGTAGTAAAATTTGGAGAAGTCACTAGAGAAATCTTGTAGAGGAAACAATACCTGTTGAAAATACGTTCAACTGGATAAAAGACGCGGAACTGGAGTCCTCCTTGGCACAGATCCACTGACATTTATACTTTCCCTCATCATCATCAGTAACATTAGCTATGGTGAGAATGAAATCTGTCTTGCATCTGCTGTTAGTTCTCCTTTTTTGTATATCATACTTTTCACCACAAGTTAATGGCGTTGAGCTGTTGTTAAAAAACCACTGAAGTTTCATTGAATTTGCGCATTCCCAATCGTCAGGATGTATTTCGACCAAGCACTTTAAACTGACGTTGTGGTAGGCTGTCACTGAAACCTCGGGAGGAGAAATAGGCGGATGTTTAGGACCGGTACCTGCATAAATTGGAAGATACATGGCAGATATTATTATGAACAAATCACATACTATTTAAAGATCATTGCCGTGCGATTGTGCAACTTTAAAGGACTACAGCCTTTACCTTACCGTGCCCCCTTTTTGTGACAATAAATGAGGCAACGCGATGCCCCAGGAAGGTACTCTTGATTTCAAGTGACAGGGATGAGCGAAGGATTTTTTTGAGGTTCGAAATTTTCGATTCTGGTTTTTTTTGGGTAAGAAGATTTGGCAAGTATTTTTTGGGTGGCTTGATTTAAGTAGGGATGTTTTTGGGGTACTCAAAATGTTCTTGGGCATCCAGATGTGGATGGTATGATGAATAAACAAAAACAAACATTCGCGATATTTTTAAGTCTCAGCAATTCGGCATGGGATTTTTTGGGGTTACTTTTTTGTAGGAATTTTTTTTTCGGGGAGGGGGGGGTTATTAGAAGCCCTAGGGATTTTTTTTGTCCCCCAGTTGATCATCCCCCTGATTATTTGTTTTTGAGAATTTTTTTCTATTTTTTTTTTAGGGAGAACACTCTCACGAATGTAGCCTCTTCAGGCGAAGCCACACGTGGGTTTTTGATTTGTCATTGGTTCTCTCCCTTGCTCCGAGAGATGTTTCTCCGTGTACTCCGGTTATCCCCTCTCCAAAAAATTGAAGCAATATTTCCAAACTTCAATTCGATCCAGAATGGCGGATGAACAGCCCAGCACTTTGTTTAATTAATCAACCATTTATTTATTAGTTATGTTTTATTATAACCAAAGGATAGGCTTTTTATGCGTGATAATTATCAGTAACCGCACAAAAAGAAGACATTCACACTATCTATTATTTTTCTAAAATAAATAAATAAATAAGCTAAGGATCCCTAGATTCTGAGAGGAAGAGGGTAGTGGCAAGAAATGTTTAGTTTATCCCTTTAAGTTAACTGTCTGAGGCAGCCGTGGCTATACACAAGCCGCGACGTATTTTTTCTCACCGTTTCGAGGGATGAGACATTCATAATCCACAGTGAACTTAAAATTTAGCGAGATATAAAGCTTCTGAAAGCAGCTAATATCTTACATACCGTAATAGGACATTTCCCAGTTCCCCGGGCCTCTGTATCAAAACGAGGTTAAGTGCTCAGCCTTTGATATGGAAATGATTTTTCATTCTCATGTAAATAAAGCTCATTTTCACGAGAAAGGTTGTGCACTTGGCCTCATTTTGAAGGCGAGGGTTTTTGGAGCCCGGAAGTGGCCTATTGTTGTATGGCTGGAAATATCTTCTTAACAGCGCGCGCTCTCATTGGTTACTTCGAGGTCACATGAGATCTAACAATGAAACTGTTTACCGCTAAAATCTCTGAGCGGGCAACATTGCAAAATTTATGACGTCAGAGGGTAAGAGTGCACTGTTACCCTCGAATGTTGACCAACGACCGCCGTTACAGCGAGGTTTAATGAATTTGCAGCTATATAAAAAAACACGAATCTCAATGTTTTCCTCGGTTTCGCCTCGGAAAACATTGAGATTCCAGGAAAACAAAATTGTTTGTTTCCCTCTGGACCAGTCATTAAGGATTTATTATTCTCTCTGAATGGAATGTCTGTTGACTGCAGGGCAACCGAAGAGCTGTATTTCTCCTGCTCAGGTTAAGACCTGATCGGAGAGAAAGAATGTCAACTTCACCCGTGACAATTTCGTCTGACGGCATGTACAGGATCTACAAGGGTATTCCCAGGCTCCGGGATTTGACTGAAATACAGTGTGGGATCCGGGCAACGTTAAACAGGATACGGTCTTCCCCCATACGCTCATGTACGGGGGGGTCATTACTCATTCCTTCATTACTTGTAAACTGCACCTTAAGCAGTCTGGCAAAGTCCCCCAACCAGTGTTGTAAATTATCCCTAAAAAGCCCTGATGGGAGTGGATAATAATATATTTACAATTTACGGAATTTTACTGCTTCTGGGGAAGCGGGACTCTCCAAAATTTGAGCACAGATGCAAGATTGAGAAAGAAAACGATATACGGGTATGTACAGGATCTGGAAGGGTACTCTCGGGATCCAGGACTCGCCCGAAATACACTGCAGGATTCGGGAAAACGCCCAATTTCTTTACCCGATACGGGAATTGACCGCTACTCGGGAAGCGGGATTCGCCAAAATCTGAAAGAAAACGGTATTCGGGATAGAGATGACAGAAGTTCGGGGTGCGGGATTGTGGTGAAAGAGAGCGGAAATACGGGATCAGGACCACCCCCCCACTTCCAGACTCTTGGTATACAGTAATCCGGGTTCACTTCTAAACATACCTCTAACTAATCAGACCACTTACACCTATAATCCAGCTCAATTATCTTCGATTTTTTACTCGACCAGCCGGTAATGTTGTTCGTTGCAGTGCAATTATAATCCCTTTCGTGTTTTTCTTGGATATTAGCATTACGAAGAAGGGAAGTTAAGGTATCCTCTCCATCCAGCTGCTCTGAGATGTAAAAACCTTCAGATCCGTTGATGATTTGTTTTTAATCTGGATTGTACCAAACTACACGAGGACGAGGCAATCCCTTGAAGGTACAAATCAGTTCCATTGTTGTCTTGTTAGAAGAGTACTCAAAGGGAGACCTTGTCTTAAATACTTTCTGAACTGGAACTGACAACAAATTTTTAGTCTTGTACTTCCTAGGCTCATAAGTCATTCAATCAGTTACAATGTACAGTTTACAGCTGGAACACGCAATAGGTAATACGGGGACCGAAAGAAACTTTGGGTACAATGATCCTGACTTTTTAAAAGAAGAACGCGCTTCACGGCTGTAACTATAATATTGAGCAAAGTGGGGAGCTGATGAAAGTTAAAAAGAGGGAGCATGACACGTATAAGCTGCGAGATGCTCCGCATTTCGCCCGCGTAAAAGGTTTCAAACAGCAACTCCTGGACAAATCGCACGCCAGCGAAGATTATTACTGTAAGGTATTGGTATCAAGACCAGTTCTCGTGCTTTTGTTTTCTGCAGCCAAAGGGAAATGCAAATATTAGGTTCTTCAAAAATTCCCATAGTTCTATTGGGTCACAGTTTTGCCTAGTTACGCTTTACTAGCCTGCGCGCAGACGAAATTAAACTCTGGTTAATCAGAGTTTAGTTATCGTCTGCACGCAGGCTACGCTTTACTGGAGGTAAACATTTTGAATTAGCTGTATTCAAGCTATCCTTCACTCTCCCCTCCCTAATACGGACCAACCTAGCCCTTGATGTTGATTTTTAATTAGCAAATCTGTTCCGATGCTAACCTATTCAGTTAAGGCACCGTGATTCAGCCGGACAAAACGAATGTATCGTTTCTAGTTTAACGATTTCTTTTACCGTAAAGACTGCTTTAGCTGAATTGAAATCTCCTTTGAAATGTTAAGAGGCCTTCATTGGATTCTGCATCAATAATACATGTAACATGAGACAGAAAAAATGCCACATGTTTTTTGCTTCATCGTGAATTCAAAAAGGGGCAAAGAGAGAAAATACTTACTTGCGTATTGTATAGAAAAACATCTACATGACTCATTTCCATCTTTTGAATCGATTTGTTGTAAGAATAGGCCTTTACTGGCATTGAGGATTTTTTTAAGATCCTGCCAAGTCGTGTCTTGTACTTTTCCACCGGTCACTATCGAGCAGTTGGAAGTCACTTTAGAGTCTTTCGGCGTTACTGTTATTGTCTGAAAAGGCGGTTGGCATTTCTGTGAGTGGAAGCAAGAAGCACTTATTTCACAGTCCGGACTTCTTGGAGTTGACAGATCTATTGAGTAAGTAAAAGAATGAAATAAAAAGGCTGGAAGAAGACATTTAGAAAACATACTCGTGAAATCCAGTTTGATAAGCTGGTACCTTCCCACGGGGAGCGGGGAGTGGGGTGTTAGGCACTTCTATAGGAAATTAACGCTCCACGAAATTAAGATATTGGAAATTTACGCGACTTAAATTAACGCGAATTAAATGGAAAACGACTTTCGCATAAAGGAAATAAAAGCGAAAGAGAGGGTAACAATTAAAAACGAAGGAAATTAACAAGACGTTCACAAAGGAACAACAACAACAATTTTATTAAAAAGCAAATAAATACATTTTAATATCACACTGCCTACATTTAGTTAAAAGCTATTCGAGGCAGGCAGTGTGGGTACTCCACACAACGTCAAGGAAAAAGAGGTTAAAAAGGATAATAATATGAATGAATAAATATGTAAAGAAGCAGAAAAAAGGTTACAATACATTGGATTAAGTTCTCTTTATAATGGGACAAGCAAGTCAAAATGTTAGAAGTATAGAAACTATCGATAGTTCGCTACACTATCGCGATTGTTATCGATGTTTCATTTTTGCTATCGTTCCATCGTTATATATCGCAGCGTTAATATTAACGCGATAGTTCGATGTATTGATACAGCCTTTATATTCAGGTATACTTTTGTTTCATTGTTTTTGTTTTCAGTTTATAGCTGTAAGACCCCAAAGGTAGCAGCACCCTGTGTGTATTATTCTTTTTTTACGCTAGCTAGTTTTTTTATGAGTGTACATGCCCTTCTATAGTGTGTTTCTCCAGAATCGTTGTGAGTGGTATGGTTGTTTTCCATGTGCTTAGGTTTGCGGAAAATCCGGTTGAAAAGTAAATGGAACACGTCTTGTCGGATCGTTCCACCATATCCAAAAGGACAGGAAATGCTGCTGGAAATTTCATTCGTTAATACATTTCTTTTAAAGAAACAGATACCGTTCCAGGCTTTGGTGGAGACTTTTCGGTGACAGCAAATCCCAAATGGAAATACATGACTCAAATTAGTGGAGTTAGGGGACTGCATTTTCTTTGCGCAGGGACCATATAAATGAAGGGAGAAAGCGTATATGTAAATGAAGATTCTTAATTTAAAAAACGGACCAAGAAAACGAAGGTAATAAGGTGATTATCATATTGCCTTTATTTCTTTCTGTAAAAAGCAAACAAACAAACAGACAAAACAAACTAAAGAAATAGGCATTTGCCCAAACGTTTTTTTTGCTAACGTTAACACTCACAGATTTTCGAGCAAAAGAGAGACTGTTTGCAGTCTACTCCCTTTCAAATTCTGTTATGCAGACATGGATTTTTTCCACATTTGAGATGTAATCTGGAGTCAATAAATCTTTTACAAGGGTAATTTGCAAGTGTAGCTATTGTTTTGAGACTCTAAAGTCTTTGCTAATGGCTATACTTGTTAATTTACACTCGTAAATTTTCATTAAAGTGACCCCTGGTGACCGACCATTCACAAACTCAAAAGTGCTGGGGTCGCTGGTTGCTTGGGTTGGGTTGCAAAAAACATCTTAAGATTAAGGGAACTCGTAACTATAATTTCAAAACAATAGGTTATTGTTCCAGAACAAAACTAAAAAGCCCTCTTATCTTAAGCAGGTTTAATGCAACCTAGCCCTGGTGTCTGTCTTGGAGGCCTTCTGGATCCTGAACTGCTGTTACACTAAAGCGAAGCGAAAAATTAAATACGAGTAAAGTGACAAAATGTCTCTCGATTTTCTGCCGCAGATTTTACATTGCAGGTGAGAGGTTAAGGGAATACAACGACTGTTCTTTTCCTGTATTTTATTGCGACTTTTTCATCAGCATATCCATTTTACAAATTACAAATTTCAATAATCTACAAACAGCCTAACAATCGATCAAGTCATTAATTTCTTACAGCGGGGAAAAACAACTGACATTTTTACTTGTCAGTAGGATCGTTACGTTAAATTCTAATCCTTGCCTCTCTTATAACAAAAGTTTGGTCATTTTCTACTGCTTTACATGATTATTCTCACTTGCAGAAGTGAAAGCAAACTCGGCTGTTCTACTGAAAAAACAATTGTGATTGAATCATCACTTTATGACTTTGCTGTCCACGGCAACCCAGACGCAGCTTTATCGGACGAAGGATTTTCATGGGCTAACGTTTGCAGCTAACCTTCAACATGCGCTATTTTTTCGAATTTTTCAGGTGAGCAGGAAGCGGACGTGGAGCGCGCGCGGACATCCCCTTCGCCCATTCTCGCGCTGAAACATGTTGATCATTCACCTGAAAGCTTTTGAACTACGGTTTTCTTTCAAATTATGTTTTTGCTTTTAGTGAACAAATAAAGTAGTCCCGTTCTAGTAGTTAAGGGGTTGATATGGCCAGTAACCAATCACAGAGCAGTATTCTTTTGTTTAAGTTTTAGAGAACAATTGGAACAATGGAGCTCATTCGTATTCAGTACTTTGAACCACTCGCAGAGCAGCATTAGAAATACCCCCTTCATGTAATAGTCATCTAAAAGATCAGGGGCACCCAACGACAATTTTCGGAAAATATGTGTTTGGAAGACGATTTGCGATCTAGAATTTTCGGAACATTTGTTGTAAAATTTTTTGCTTGCCTGCCTCTCCTAGGATTTTCGAACATCTAAAAAATGGTATAATTGCCCATTTCTAACGGATTTTTACTCTTAAAAAGTCACCTAGAATTTTCGTGAACCTTTTTTGTGGCTGAAATTTTCGAAAAGGTAAGTTTTGATCCCTATAATTTTCGGATCACTAGACTTTCAGCTAGGAAATCCGAACAGATGAAAAATTTCTAGGGGATAAAAATATGCCTATATCTACCGTTTAAATACTAAAATACGTTTAACAATGCTATGTTTAAGAGGTTTTGAACTATCTTCTCGTTGGGTGCCCCTGAAAGATGTTTTATTATGCAAGAAAATGGCGCCCTTTGCCATGAACGCATCAAATATTGAACGATTTGCTGCCTTAACAACACAAAGGCAGAAAGACCTCTTTGAAGTAAACAAGAACTTAACCGAACAATGGTTTTGGCATTTACGGCGATTGGAAAAAAAGCAAGATAAACGAGTGTTGTTTGCACGCGACGGTATGCTGTACAAAGAATTTTACAAGGTCCAGAAACGGACCCGATTTTGCAGGGGCAAAGAAATTTACACAACACAGTATTTCATCGCAATTATTTTATTCACCTCAAAGAGTATATCATTGTACACAAGAAATAATAATAATGACGAAAGAAATGGCTAATGGTTACATCATCACTTAATGTGTAGTCTACCAAATTGTCTCTGTAAGCTAGGTCTTGTTCGTAGGTAGGTCCTTTTTCAGATGATACAAATAACACATTTTGTTGTAATCTTCGCTTGAACAAATCGTTCATTTTCAGTAAGGCAACAGGATAATCGTAGATATTACGTACACCAATAATGACAGTTCTGCTGATCAACGTGGGGTTCATAATCTGTTCCTCCGTCATTTCCTCACACCATACTTTTTGAAATGCAATCCGTTGTAGCTGTAGTTTGTTGGAAAACGGACCACCATAAGAGAATTATTTCTCAGCCATACTTGTCTTTGGACAAACACGCCGCGGGTTGATTATGCAAAAATCTTCAACTTAAGACCAGGTATTGTGTAAAAAAAGTGCAATTAAGAATTAGCCGTTTAGCTTTTGTCTTTTTTTAAAAATGAGCGATTAAGACATTGAGTTCCCACTTCGAAAAAAGTCAAGGAATGTTGTTTCACAATCATCTAGAACATGTTGTATTTCTTTGCAAAATTGTAATTCTCTGTCTATCGACAAACCTATGAAATACCTGTGGCAAAAACAACAAGACGATTCAGAAGAAGAGGGCTCTTTTAACCCTGATTGGATAGTGAACAATCTATTATGTGTTCAACAGACAAACGCGCTCTCCGTTCAATCATGATTTCATTCTTTAAAGTTCAGTTTGCTCGGAAAAAAGTCTTAACTCTCAACAATATTCTTTGGAACGTTGTCCAGCGTCAAAGGATAGCCAGTTTTATTGGACATGTATTCTAACTGACTTATGCGGCTTTGGTTGACAAACTCATCCAACAAGAAACGCTGAATCACTGCGACGGTTGTGCTATTCAACACCCAAGTCAGAACCAACATTCTTGCCTCATGATGGATAATGATGACGCATGGAAGTATTACCACGATGAAGTGGTGGAACAAATTGACCTGAATTCTATGTTGAACGCTACCGAAAGTATATGCAGTGCTCTCGGCTTCAAACTAGATAAATCATGGGAAGCGTACTGCCAAATATTGTCGTGGACCAGTATTTACCTCGCTTCTGTGGAACTTGATGTTGCCCAGCAGGGTGATGATCTTCAAAGCCGTATTTTATACGCTCTATACTACCGACCAAATGGGCTCAAATGGAAAGATTTCAGTGATCAACAAGAAACAATAGAATGCCTTGATAGAGTCGTGAGAAAAGAAGAACACCAATGGACCTTGACATGATAATTAATGACATTCAAAATAAGCTTTGTTTCTAAAAGTAATAAAATTTCTTCATGATGACTAAAATTTTGAGTCGGTGTGTGTTTGTCTCTGTCTTTGTCAAGATGGGGCTTTCTCTGTCTTTGCTTCGGGTCGACTTTTCTCTGTATCGCATTGTATATAAAGAGTTTTCCTTTAGGTGTAAAAAAATGTCATTTGCTCATAGTTTGTAAATAAATATGGTTTAACATAAACACGGTTTGTTGTCTGTCTAGCCGCGCGCACGTGTGTGCGCCACGCGCGATTGAATCACCCGCGTAAAGGAAAAATACAGTGATATAAAAGGCCCTTGTGGCCCCTGTGGCCCCTGTGGCCCGTTCTCAATAGTCATAAACTGCGTGTCAACCAAAGGACCTTGACATGATAATTAA